GTGTCCTTTGGCTCTTTGTATTCCAAATCTTTGACTTGATTCATGTGTTCCTCCAGTCTGCTGTTGGATCTCTGTATAATATCATTAAATTTATCAGCCTTTTCTAGGAAATTCTTGAAAAACCTTATAACTATGGTTTTGAACTCTATATCCATTCTTTTGTTCTCCTCCATCTCTTCCGTATGAGATGTATTTCCTTGTCTCGGCATTTTCGCTGCTTCCCAGAGTTGGTAGGATGGCTTTGTGTGTTTGTTATCCTATATGGCCCAGTGGGTCAGCCTCCAGTTACCTGAGGTAGACACTCTTGGTATTCCCCTTTGTGGACTGCATGAACAGCCTGTTGTAGTTAAGACTTGATTGTCGTTGGTATCACTGGGAGGAATTGACCTCCAGGCTCATTGGATGTGAGTATCAGCTGTATCTACTCCAGGATACCTTCTGTATTGGAGACAGTCTTATAGGATCAGACTTGCAAAATTGCAAAAGCCTCTGTGCTTGGCTTGGATGGGGTGGAGTCTCAGGGCTGAGCTGATAGTCTTGGCTTCCCGTCAGCCCTGCCTTTGTGCACTTGTCTGAGTTTCTGCCTGACATCTGCCTTCTGCGGCTCCCCTGAGTTTCCACCTGACCATCCTGATTCCCGGTGCAAGAGCGTGGGTGCCACAGGGGCTCACCCAGAATTGAATTGGGTCTCTGTAGTCTGGAGCTTCTCCACTATGAGAGGCCGGGGCAACCTCTGCGGTCAGACCTCTCTACTTACACTCACTCGCACACGACTATAGACCCTGCCCACTGCAGCTCCCGGCTCCCCTAGTCTCCCAGTCTCTGAGTCTCCAGGTGCTTTTCTCCATACTCCCTCCTTATGAGCCTGGGTCCACGGGGTTTTAGCCGGGGTTGGGGTTCAGTACAGTTGGAAAGGGTTCAGTGCAATCGGGGACTTCCTTTCCTCTCTCGCCAGCCAGGCATTTGGCCACCCTTCTGCACATGAGCATCTCCCTACCTCAGTGCTTTGCAGCTCCCAATCCAATCCGTGAGCCTCTCTCCTTCTTTCTAGTTGTAGATTTCCCACTCTGCCAGCTTTCCTGTGGATTTGGATGATGTCCGTTCTGTCTTTTAGTTGTTTTGAAATTGTTGTTTGAGGTGGCAGCTTAGGTGATTAGCTAGGCCACCATCTTGGTTTCTCTCCTCTCAATGGCATATTTCAAAGGAATCAACAAATGACAAGTGCTGGCAAAGATGTGGAGAAAAAGAACTCTCGTGCACTGCTAGAACAAACTCTCCAAAAATTCATACGGGATTAACAAAAGACCCCAAATAGCCACAGCAATTTTGAGAAAGAAAAATAAAGTTGAAAGGATCACAATAACAAATATCAAGCTAAATTTCAAAGTCACAGTTCTCAAAACTGTCTGGTACTGGCACAAGAACAGACACATAGATCAATGGAACAGAACAGAGGACCCAGAAATTGACCCAAGCCATTATGCTCAATTAATATTTGACAAAGGAGACAAGAACATACAATGGAGTCATGACAACCCCTTCAACAAATATTGTTGGGAAAATTGGACAGATACATGTAAAAAATGAAACTAGACCACCAACTTACACCATACACAAAAGAAACTCAAAATGGATGATTGATTTAAAGGTAAGATGGGAAACCATAAAAATCTTAGAAGACTCCATAGGCAGCAAAATATCAGACTCATATCGTGGCAATATCTTTACTGATACAGCTCCTATGGCAATGGAAACTAAGGAGAAAATAAACAAATGGGACTACATCAAAATAGAAAGCTTCTGCACAGTAACATAAACCATCAACAAAACAGAAGAGATTCCACTGCATGGGAGGGCATATTTGCAAATGTTATAACTGATAAGAGATTAATCTCCAAAATTTATAGGGTACTCATACATATTAACAAAAAGAAGATAAACAATAAAAAAATGGACAAAAGACTTAAATAGACAGTTTTCTGAAATGGACATACAGAAGGCCAAGAGACATATGAAAGCATGCTCGAAGTCATTAATCATCTGAGAGATGCAAATCAAAATGATAATTAGGCATTTCTATACACCAACAGTGAAACTACAGAAACAGAGACTAAAAAAGCAATTCCATTTACCATCGTGACTTACAGTTTAAAAATAATCACTTTGCTCTGTGGAGGCAAAGGTAGTTTAAGTAGCAGTACATACCTGAAACTGTGTGTGTGTGTGTGTGTGTGTGTGTGTGTGTGTTTGTGTGTGTGTGTGTGTGTGTGTGTGTGTGTGTGTGTGTGTGAGAGAGAGAGAGAGAGAGAGAGAGAGAGAGAGAGAGAGAGAGAGAGAGAGAAAGAGAGAGTGAGAGATCTTAATGATGAGAAAGAATCATTGGTCAGCTGCCTCCTGCATGCTCCACACTGGGGTTTGAGCTGTCAACCTGGGCATATGCCCTGACCAGGAATCAAATTGTGATCTCCTGTTTCAAGGTTGATGCTTAATCACTGAGCCATGCTGGCTGGGCCACATTGCTCTTTAATAATAAGAGCCTCCCTAGTTAAATCAAATGGGGTTTTTAGGGTTTTCTAAAAATTGGTTTCTAACCACTTTCCTGATGTTATCCCTTTTATCTTTTTGCTCAGTAAGCTTGTCCTACATTCTAACCAAACCAGAGTCCCATGAATATATTCTGCACTTTTGTGACTTCTTGCCTTTCTTTGCTTCTCCTGCATGTTCCCTTCCTTGTCAAGGGTACATATAGAAATCCTACCCATCCTATGAGGCTCACCACAAATATCAATTTCTCCATGAAGACTTTCCTGATGCCATTGACAGTATATGATCTCTCCCTCCGTTGGTACTTGATGTATTTTGCTTGGCATTCTCTTTCTGCCCCTTGCCTTATTGGACCTTGTGTGAGTCACCTGTGTATTTACCCATGAAATCTTGAGAGTAGAATGTGGCACTTACACTTTTCATTCTCCCTATCACCCAAAATAGTGCTATATATCTGATGTTTGGTAATTGGTGAGCTGAATTTTGTGAAATAACTTGGTTCTGTTTATCCCTGATCAGGCCCCTTTATTTCCAAGCAGAAGTCTATCTGTTTTTAGGATCCAGGAGGAACTAAGTTGCTTCAAAATGTTGGGTATAGATTTTGCCTGTTGCTTTTTTTTTTTAAATAAACTTATTTATTAATAGCACTTGGGTCACATTAAATCTATGACCAATTAAAAAGTGTTTTCTTTGAATGTTTGAAGTGTTTCATGCACAGCAGTTCTATGCCTTCTTGACTTATCTTTAATGGCAGGACATTTCAATGATGAATGTAAACTGATGTCTTGAATTCATTTTGATCAAGAAACTGATGGATTGGCTTTGTTTGGGCATTCAGGAGGTCTTGTCAGAGGTAAGTGACTAAAGACAGACATGTGGGATCAGGGGACAAGAGTAACCCCTGCTTTCCTGCTTAAGTGAGAATGATACTAGGCTGTTACTGAATATAACTGCCATATTTTTAGGGACACAAAGTGACTGCAGTATTTTCACAGTTATGAAATAGTAAGCTATTCTGTCATGGGGCTCTATTACATTTTATGAAATGAGGTAAAATATTTCAGCTTGAATTATGTTCACAAAGATGAGCACTCTCCATATAAATAGTTATACAGAGGGACAAACAACTATTTCTTAAGTGAATCTTGAATTCTATAAAGGAAAACAGTATGTATTTCTGAATGCATAAATATAGACTATACTCTAAGTTCCTTGCTACTCAAAGTATGGGCTGTGGACCAGCAGCATTAGCATCACTTGAGAGCTTGTAAGAAATTTCAACCTCAGACCCCATCCCAGACCCACAGTATAAAAATGTACATTTTAATACTATCCCCAGGTGAGTCATATGCATATTTTAAAAATTATTTTTCAATTACATTTGACATATAATATTATATTAACTTCAGGTGTATAATATAATGATTAAATATTTATATACCTTACAAACTGATTACCCTGATAAGTCCAGTATCCACCTGAGAGAAGCCCAGCTCTAGGTATTGCCTTTCAGAAAAAAAGCAGGAAGCCATCCTTAGGCTGTGACCTGGTTTGTCTTCATGTACATCTTAACTATTGAACCTCAACATCACAACCTGTCATTATAACAGCATCAATGATGACTGCATTGTTTTCTATGCAATATTTAGTGAGTTTCACAGCCAAAAAGGGGAAATTAAATCCAACTTTTGGAATTTCTTACTAGGACATTAATACATTTTTTTTAATATCACTTGATCCTTTTCAAAAATATATATTTTATTGATTTTGTACAGAGAGGAAGGGAGAGATAGAGAGTTAGAAACATCGATGAGAGTCATCGATCAGCTGTCTCTCGCACACCCCCTACTGGGGATATGCCCGCAACCAAGGTACATGCCCTTGACCGGAATCGAACCCGGGGACCTTCAGTCCCCAAGCCGACGCTCTATCCATTGAGCCAAACCGGTCCCAGCAATATCACTTGATCCTTGACATAGATGTTGGCATGAGAGAGGGGAGAATTCTATGTATGTGGAAGAGTTCTTGTTTAAAATAAAAATATCCATTCTCATTTGTTTCTTTCAAGAGCAGAGTTTAAATTATGTATGAAATGCATTCATAAGGTTTGTAAAGTTCATAGGTACATTATTTTTCATAAAGTTCAAGATTGTGAAGTTGGTTACTCCCAGCACATATTAGAAAACCCTTTCCAGCATAAGGGGGGGATGTAAAATTCATTTCTGGGACTAATTTTTTTTTCTTTTTTCTTTTTTTTAAAATAATTCTTACATTTTTTAATTGTAAAAATCATCAGACTTCTTTTCAATATTTTTAATGAAAAAGTCTCATAGTGTCATGTATAGAATATATCAACATTTACTACCTGTCATATTTAATGAAACACACCATTGCTGTACACTTGGAAAGTCCTTAAACCCATTCTCTAGTAAGTGTCCATAATTTAAAGGGTATTTTCTCTACTAAAATAGAAAAATCCAGTGTAAGGCTACAAATTATTATATACCAAAGTAATACCTAGTTACATGTTTTACACAGTCCCATGAAAAAATAATTCAGTTGTTCCTAGTCCCTGATGCAAGGCATTTCAAAGCACCCTCACAAAACATCCATATAAACAGCAGTACAATACATGATTTAAATAACATGAATGTCTCTTACACAGCTTGATCCAGACTAAAGGAAAAATAAAATCCATCACAGCCAGCAGCTAAATAGCATGTTAAGATTCACAACAAGGATTTGTTTCTCTTATTATAAAAAAGAACAGAGCATATAATCTTTTAAAAAAAACAACACCTTTTGAAAAATACTTTCATATTAAAAAGCATGCTTCTGGGGTATAAGTGATCAAGGGGAGATGCAAATAGCATTTTCAAATACCTAGGTTTATACCTGTCAAGCCTAGAAGTCTGGACCATTTGTAGCACCTTGGAAAATGCATTAGAAAATCACAAAGGTACACTACTTAAAACCTAACCTTGCATAAGGTTAACTTAGTCCACATCAACAAAGAACGATGCAGAGAAAGAAGTTTGTAAATTACTGGCTTATGAGATTTAACTAGCAAGAAAAGTTGTCTTAATTATAGTAGTACATCTCATGTACATAAAGCACCAGTTTAAAAAGATTATCAAACACCTCCAACATCTTGTCACTCATCCTGAAAATTCATTTCTTATCACTTGCCATGTTACATCCCTAAAGCTGAGGAAGATAAAATTTGAATGGTGATAGGTAGGTATTGAAAGAGAAATTCAGTTCTTTCCACATCGAGTGTATAATATGTCTCTCAAGTAAAACACAGATGAAGTAACAACATTTAAAAGGTCTACTGCATTCCTTATGCGACGGTGAGCAGGAGCCCCTGCCGGACACCGGCCAGCCGGGCGCAGGCAGGGAGCCGGGCGATGGGGCCCCCAGGGGGGGGGTGCCCCTGAGCCATCGACCTCTGAGCGCGGGCAACGGAGCCAAGGCCGGGGGCTGCTTCCTGGGTGGAGCGGACCCCAGCAACAGGCTGGTTTTAGTGCGGGAGCCCACTGCGAACAAAGGAGTGCCACAGGCCAATCTGCTGAGCTCCCAGGACAAGGAGGAAGAAACCAAAGTTCTCAATGTGAAGAAATCAAGTGAGAGCAAAAGATAGTAAAATTACTTAAGAAAGAATACAAAGAAAGTCTTGAAAATTCAAAGACTAAGTCAGAACTCAACTCACCAGCCAACATTGCAACATAAATGCGTTTTTTTTTTAAAAAAAGGACAGAATGTTGGAACAGCGGCGGCCAGGCATAGAGTGCCCAGGCACAAAGCAATGGCAACCGGGCCCGGAGCAGCAATGGCCAGGCCCCAGAACAGCAGCAGCCAGAACCAGAGCAACAACAGCCAGCACTGGAGCAGCCAGACCTGGGGCAGTGGCAGCCAGGCCTGAGGCGGAGGCAGCCAAGCCCAGGGAGGCCAATCCAGGAACACCCAGACTCGGAGTGGCCGGGCCCGGAGAAGCCGGGCCCAGAGCAGCCGGGTTGGGAGCAGCCAGGTCCAGAACAGCAGTAGCCAAGCCCAGAGCATCCAGGCTGGGAGCGGCCAGACTCGGAGCGGCCAGGCCCATGGCAACCGGGCCCAGAGCAGCCGGGTCTGCTGCGGCCAGGCCCGGAGCAGCGGCTGCCAGACTGGGAGCGGCCAAACCCGGAGCAGCCGGGTCTGGTGCGGCCAGGCCCGGAGCAGCGGCTGCCAGGCTGGGAGCGGCCAGGCCCGGAGCAGCCGGGTCTTGTGCGGCCAGGCCCGGAGCAGCGGCTGCCAGGCTGGGAGTGGCCAGGCCCAGAACAGCTGGGTCTGGTGCGGCCAGGCTCGGAGCAGCAGCAGCCAGGTCCAGAGCAACTAGGTTGGGAGTGGCGGTGACCAGACCCGGAGCAGCTGGTTGTGGAACGAACCAGAGCAACAGAGGCCAGGCCCGGAGCAGCCAGGCCCGGAACAGCTAGCTCCTCGCCTGTCCCTGCCCCACGGCTGCCTCTCAGACATGGCTGGAAACTTTTGTGGGAAATTGAGGGTCTGCTGAATCAAGTGATGAAGGCTTAGATCTGGATGTGTTGAGTTAGTATAGGGCTGGGGTGTTGATCTGTGAGTGCCTTGGGTGGGGCCTGGATGAGGCTGGTTGACCTATTTGGAAATGTCTTTTGTGTGAAATGTACCATTGGGCATGTGGTGGTATTATTGATATGAGAAAATGCTAAGTAACTGATTTACTATCTGAAAAGGGATTTACTATCGGGGAAAGGGAGGGAGGAAGAGACTGAACATAAACTGCACCTATGGATGAGGACAATGGGGGATGGGGAAGGGGTGGAGGGTGGGGCGGGAACCTGGTGGACGGGGGAAGAAATGAGGAACCTTTGTAACAATATGAACAATAAAGATTGATTTAAAAAAAAAAGAAGAAAGATAAAAGATTACAATGCAAGTGCTTAAAGACAAACTCGGATAAAAAGAATTTGACAATAAAACTTGTTTTTAGAAAGAAGATAGAAAAAAAAAAGTCTACTGCATTCCTTAGAGCCCATCATGCCAGCAGAATAGTTTCTGCCTATGAGAGAATTAGCACACAGGGCGAGGAGGCCAAGGCCAGGGTTGAATGCCCTGTCACATAAGGCCAGGTTGGTCCTGCTTCTGCAAGGCCACACTCTATGTCTGTATTAGAAAGCAACTCTAACAAATGATCAACATTGGTAAAGAGGTCTGAGTGTGAATCTGACTCCAGAGGCTTAACTTCACATGAAAATCAACACATCTGCCACTTTACCAGTGGCAATTCTTACTAACAGCATAGAATGCCCTTCTTAGGCATAAAAGGAGTAATGGTGTTTCTAGGTTTATGCACAGTGAATAATCAATAAATATTCTGACGCATTTTTTTAAATTACAGTTTAAAAATGACTCCCAAAAGAAAATCAGTTTCTTCCTAAATGATAAAAGCCTTTATAAAATGCTGAAATGATGGTTAATTCAAATACAAAAACTCAAATACAAAATATCCTAAATATTCCTTCCAAGCTACCCAGGTTCATACAGTTGATTCTACCACACAACTGTACAATGGTTACATCACCAGAGGAAAGCACTAATAAAATACTTCAGTTATAAAACTGAAGGCTACTTCTTTTTAAAAAAAAATCTTTATTGTTCATATTATTACAAATGTTCCTCATTTTTCCCCCTTCATTGCTCCCATCCACCAGATTCCCACCCAACCCTCTGCCCTTTCCCCACCCCCCATTGTCCTCATCCATAGGTGCACAGTTTATGTTCAGCTCTTCCCGCACCCCCCCCCCCACTCCCCTTTTCCCCAAGAATCATCAGTTCACTCCCCTTCCATACCTCTGATTCTATTATATTCACCAGTTAATATTGTTCATCAGATTTTTTAATTTCCTTGGTTTTTAGATTCTCTGGTTGATAGTTATGTATTTATTGTTCATAATTTTTATCTTTATTTTCTTCCTCTTTCTAAAGAACCCCCTTCCGCAATTCATATAATTCTTGTTTGGGGGTGATGAACTCCTTTAGCTTTTTTTACTGTGCGAAGCTCTTTATCTGGCCTTTGATTCTGAGTGATAGCTTTGCTGGGTAGATTATTTTTGGCTGTAGGTTCTTGCTATTCATCACCTTGAATATTTCTTGCCATTCCCATCTGGCCTGCATGGTTTCTGTTGAGAAATCAGCTGACAATTGTATGGGTGCTCCTTTATAGGTAACTACCTGCTTTTCTCTTGCTGCTTTTAATATTCTCTCTTTGTCTTTTGCTCTTGGAATTTTAATTATGATGTGTCTTGGTGTGATCCTCTTTGGATTCCTTTTGTTTGGGGTTCTGTGCGCTTCCTTTCTTGTAAGTCTATTTCTTTCACCAGGTGGGGGAAGTTTTCTGTCACTATTTCTTCCAGTATGTTTTCGGTATCTTGCTCTCTCTCTTCTTCTGGGACCCCCTTAATTCTGATGTTGGTTTGCTTGAAGTTGTCCCAAAGGTTTCTTACATTATCTTCAACTTTCTGGATTCTCTTGTCTTCTTGCTTCTGTGGAGGAGTGTCCTCTGGCTCTTTGTGTTCCAAATCTTTGACTTGATTCTTGCGATCTTCCATTCTGTTTTTAGGACTCTGTATAATATCTTTTTATTTCAGACAATGTATTCTTTATTTCTAGTTGATCTCTTTTTATTTGTAGTTGATCCCTTATCATATCCTCATAGGTCTCGTTTATTTTATAGGCCTTTTCTAGGAAATTCTTGAAAAACCTTATAAGCATGGTTTTGAACTCTATATCCAGTCTCTTTTTGTCCTCCATTTTTTTCGTTTGTGTTCTGCTTCTTTGTCTAGGCATTTACCCTGAGTTGGTAGGGTGGCTTTGTGTGCTAAGGTGTCCTGTATGGTTCAATGGGTCAGTCTCCCAGTTACCTGAGGTGGACACTCTTGGTGCCCCCTTTTGTGGACTGTGTGTACAGCCTTGTTGTAGTTAAGTCTTGATTGTTGTTGGTATCACTGGGAGGAAGTGACCTCTGGGCCAATTGGCTGTGAGGCTCAGCTGTGTCTATGCCAGGAGACAGCCTTATTCAACTAGACTTGGAAAATTGCAAAAGCCACTGTGCTCAGCTTGGATGAGGCAGAGTTTCAAGGTGGCGCCTACAGTCTTGGCTTACTGTTAGTCCTGCCCTATGAGGTTCCTGAGTCTCAGTGTTCCTCAGTGTCCTTCGGTACTCAATGCTTTGGTATTCGCTGCAAGCACCTCTGAAAGAAAGGTGCCTTTGAGTTTGGCCCACGACCAAACAGTCTAGGCTCTCCCCCAATGAGTCCGGAACTGGGGTTCAGTGCAGTTGGAAGTGGGGTTGGAAGTGGGGTTCATAGAAGTCTTGAGCTTTTGTCTCCTTCCCGCTATGGCAATCCAGCAGCACAGTCTCTGTGTGCAATGTGTGTGGCTCCGGGACTGTCTTTCGCCGCTCCCCTAAGTTTCTGCCTTACACTCAGACACTCTCCGTATGAGCCTGGGTTCCCAGGGTCTGGCCTTGGGTTCAGTACAGTCAGAACTGGGGCTAAACACAGTCCAGAGCTTTTGTCTCTTTCCTGCTAGGGCAATCTAGCAGTCGAGTCAACAGTCCGTCCTCTGCGCGCAATGTGTGCACCTCCAGGACTGTCTTTTGCCGCTCCCCTAAGTTTCCGCCTTACAACCCAGATTTCCTCCGTATGAGCCTGGGTCCCCAGGGTCTGGCCAAAAACTGGGATTCAGTACAGTTGGAACTGGGGCTCAGCACAGTCCGGAGCTTTTATCTCCGTCCCCCTAGGGAACGCCAGCCAGGCACTCAGCCGCCCCCTCCTCTCCGGCTCCGTCCTCTCTCCACTCACACTGTGTCTCCGTACCTTAGGCTTTTACAGCTCCTCTGATTTTCCTTCTGGTTTTCTCTTTCCTTCTAGTTGTAGAATTTCCAGTTAGTCAACTTTCCTGTAGTTCTGGATAATGTCCATTTTGTATTTTAGTTGTTTTTTTTTTTTTTTAATTGTTGTGTGAGGCTGCAGTTAGGCGTTTACCTATGCTACCATCTTGGTTCTCCTGAAGGCTACTTCTTAATAATAAAATACTTCAGTTAGAAAACTGAAGGCTACTTCTTAACAACTGCAATTAAACTGCATCATTTGAGCAGGGCTGAGAAGCACCATGCCTAAGCAAGGTTTCCTTCTTCCTTGTATCCCACAATGATTGTTGAAGGAAGGAATCTGGTCTATAAATGAATGGCTCATCCACTGCCCTTTGGGAACATCACTGAAAGTCGATTCTCCACAGTCAGCTGTTAGCCCATTTGAAGA